ACCAAACACACAATACATTCATATATACCAATCTGATTCTTTGAACTTGCAAATACAACTTTCATGTAACAACATGCATATAACACTTTCAATTCGTATACAAATTTCATATACAATTCCTATACAATTCAAATAACACTTTCAATTCATATACAATTTCAACATAAAGCTGACAGAGAGTAACAAAATACACATCATACATGCATAACGGAAAAATTATGCCGGAAAAACGCATCTGTGGCCGGAAAAATCAACTGGTGGAGTTGTAGTGGTGGTGGTCGCTAGAAAAAAGCTTTGTTGTAGCGGTGGTGGCTGTTTTGTGCTTAATCAGGCGAAACTCAACAAATAACTAGAGCAATTGAGATCAGAATACCGTCGCCGAAAATCCGTGCGCCTGTCGTCGGAAACGGACGTCTGTCGATGAAAATGGATGAACTAATCCGATGAGTTGGTGGTGGAGGCAAGTCGGAGGAGTTCGAAGGTGAAAAACGACATAATGCATCGGAGATACAGTGTCGCCGTCGGACCACTTAAAAGAAAAAAGATGGTTGCGTCTGGTAGCTGATCGAGGATGAAGTCCTAAAAAAAGGGACTATCATTTTGCTGAAAAGCCTTTAGTGGCAACTCCGGAGCAATAGCGACGACATGATGGAGGGAAATGGATACGCCATTTCTCGTCATTTTTGGCCGTCAGATTAGGTCGATATTGTAGGGCCAAGATCGCTTGTCATGTGGTTCATGCAGATCGAAAGCATTAATAGCGACACCGTCATTGCAAAAGGTGTTGCCGCTATTACTTCCACGAGAGTGAACCCTATCCATTGGATCATGTTGCAAATGTAGAGTCAAGATTGATACTAGCGTGTATTTGTCGGATCATCGTTGGATATATTTAACGACGACGCTTTTAGCAACGACGGGAGCCTTTAGCGGCGACACCAGGCGTATGTCATCTCATGTCGTCGCTAAAAGTCTTGTTGTCGCTAAAAGTGTTGTCCCTAATACTCTTTTGTTCTTGTAGTGTTAGGATCATATGTTAATTAACAATATCATATTAATATGACTCTTGAGCATACAAAATCTTTCACTAGGTCCTATGGAGGTCTTTTGAGATTTTTTTTCTTTAGAAAATTGGTTCTCAAGTTCTCAAATAAATGTTGGTTCATACGATCAAACTGACTGACTACGTTCACATACAAACACGAAAGAGAGACTTTTATTGATACCGCCGAATTGTATACACACTCATACTAAGTCACACTAGGAGCAAAATAGACCTAAAATAAGTTAATAAGGCCAAACCTATGAACTATGATTAAACTGGTCCATGAAACACTTTGATATTGATTAGGATAAAGAAACTTGGCCATATTTTTTTTTATTTTTGGGGGTGTACCCCCGACCCCGGCAAGGGGCGGCTCCCCCTTGACCCCAAATATGTTTTGCCCCAATGCATGCTTAGTCTACCGAGTAGATATAAGGGCTATAAGGTGAATAATACTCCACAATTCAAAAATCTCCCACTTGAAGGCTAATCCACAAATATACCATTGCCACCACCACCTTCACATGGTTTGTTTTTTAGAATAATCTATGATCAAGGTGATAAATATCATTTATGTAGCATCTACATCTTCTTTTGCAGATAAAAAAAACACTTGCAGTCATATAACTATTAAAAAAACAAACAATATCTAGACTTGTATGCAGGGCCGGTCCTGACGGTGGGCGACCCGGGCGACCGCCCAGGGCCTACGACTCAAGAGGGCCCAAAAATTCTAGAATATATAGTGTATATATATAACTTTTATTTATCTATATATTTCTTTAGGGCCCAAAATTAGTCAAATGTCCAGTCCAAAGTCACATTGACCCAAGTCCCAAACAAATTAATAAAATGGGCCGCTAAGCCGCTTGATCTTTATGTCGCTGAAGTTGATTTTGAATTTTTGATTTCCATTAATTATCAAATAGGAACCAGGCAAGGAAGGTAGCGGGGAATGTGGGAAATTGAGATTAGGGCGCCAGGTAATTGAATCGACGCCTCACACCTTGATACCGAATCGTCTCGTCGATTTCTCTCACAAATCACAATCTTTAATCTCCAACGGCTAATTGTCTCGACTCTAGATATATTTCATTTCCGGTTTCTCACTTTGTCTCTCACAGTCTCACGCAAGCACGCAGCCGGCAGCTCTCTGTTCAAATCTCGTTTCCGGTTTTGTTTCTCAATTCTCAAATCGCCGACACAGCCACACAGGGACAAGTCGACAAGGACACCAGGTCACCACCAGGTAATCGACTAATCTGTCTAGTTTCTAAACTCTAATCGATTTCAGTTTCTCAATTTTCATTCAATTGGTTTCATTAGATTCAATTAAAGAGGAATTAGAATTAGGGAAGCAGAAGCAGAAGGCTGATTTTTGTTTCACTAATTTAGAAAAATTTTGTTTCTGCTTAGTAATTCAATTTCAATTCTCAAGTCTCAGTTTTGTTTCTTTTGGATGCTTTAGCAATTTACTCGCATATAATATTCAATTGATGAACTTTTTTTTTCAAAACAAATGAAATTTCTTCCTTGAAATTTAGGTGGTGTTAATTGTTCATCTTTTTAGTTTTACTTTTTCTCTTAGTAACTAATGATAAAAGTTAACATATTGTTGCTTAGTGCTGACTTAATTAGTAAATACATTGTTTGATAACATAGTAATATTGTCATAATTGATGCAATGTGTTCTACTGTTTTGGTAATTAGTGTCGATATTACGTTTTATTCTTTTACTTTTTCCATATAATTTGTTGATAGTTCATCAATTGTTCATCGTTTGTGTATTGGTTATTGGATTTTTGATATTAGGATTTTTGATAACATTGTAATACGATGTTTTTTGTTATTGATTTTTACAGCTTGCTTTGATATTAGGCTTCAACCGTTCAACATATTTCACAAAGAAATTAGGTGTATTCTTTTCTTAAAGTAGTTTTTACTTTATTGTCATTTGTCAATCATAAAATGTTTTCTAAAAAACACTTATCTGGTAGTGAAAACGAAAAAAACGAAAATTTGTGGAGGCTTATTTACTAAAAGAGAAAGGGTCTATGGTTAAATTTTTAAACCCAATGAATTCTAATGAAGAAAATATTAATTTGAATGAACATGATACTAACTTAAATGAAAATGTTGCTAGTGTTAATGAAGAAAACATTAATTTTAATGAACATGATAATAATTTGAATGAAGAAAATATTAATTTGAATGAACCATTCCTGTCACTGTTGCATCTGCAGAGAGAAGTTTTTCAAAGTTAAAGTTATTGAAGAATTATCTAAGATCGTCGATGTCGCAAGAAAGGTTGAACGGATTGACAATGTTACGTATAGAGAAAGACATGTTAGATAAAATTGATTTGGATAACATTTTTAATGATTTTGCATCTAGAAAAACTAGGATAAATATTTTCCTATAAATTAGTTGTTTATGTAATGTTGTGACCATATTTATGTTTTTTCAATATTAATAGTGAATTTTGTGAATTTTATAGCATTCTATTTCGAATTAATTTATATTATATTTATGACTTTAGGGGCCTTTTTTTATTTTCGCCCTGGGCCCATAATATCTTTGGACCGGCCCTGCTTGCATACTCGATTGTGTTTTTCGTCTAGCGTTTTGCTAGGCATATTTTCCTATTTTATTGATAAAAAAATTCACATTTTAGAATGAAGTTAAAATATGGGTTCCACAAAAACCGAATATTAAAAATGGGAGGGTTGGGCTTGAACGATTACCCTTGAGAGTCAACCTATCGAGAAGATGCGGTGGTGCTGGATTCAACTCTGTCCCTTTGTTGCTCTAAAAAAACGGTAGTTATTAAAAGCAAAAGTAACCAGACTAGCTTAGTAGTTTTGTTAACATACTTTGATCCTGATCTCCATCCTGTGGCTATTAATTAAGTGTGGCGTGGTTAGTCTTTGGAGCTCATCCTGTTAGAACAAAGCTATGGCGCGGCATATGAGGCACATTTTATGAACTTCAGTAGCATGTAGGAAGATTATCTATGTGTAATCCAATTTCATTCCACCGTTTAGATACATATCTTATGGTATTCATAGGCCCAATGGATTGCCATCGTTAATTTTATCATCGATACAAAATATATTGATCGTGTTATGGAAGGGAAATCAAGGCTGGTAACATATATGTAGAGACCAAAACGGGCGCTGAGGAAAGAGAACTGTGAAAGTTGCATGAGATAAACTTTGAAAGGAAAAAGCATAACTTCCCATGTCAATAATTGATAATTACATTGAAGGCCAATTTGAAAATATAAGAGTTCTAGAAAAATTAAAGCTGGAACAAATATATTCTTCCATAATGACAAATTAAAAGGGTTTAAAGTGGCATAGTGATTACTATTTATGGTTTTAAGAACCAAAACACACATGGTACGTGCTTCTTGTTATTTATAACATATAAATTTAAACGAAGCCACAATCAGATCCAAGATTACATAAGTGATTATATGGATGCATGAGCTAAGTAAGCTTAAGTGAGAAACTCTTCTGCACTTCAATTGCAAGTTCTTCAACACTAAGTTGACATTCCAGTCCTATCTGCAGGAAACAGTTAATCCAGTGGTCATATATTATGAGTACACACAAACTGAATATAGATGAATCACATCAAAATAATTTGTTCAAGACACTAAGATATACAAAGGTATATTAGCATAGATGATAGGTTTATTAAATCCTTTAGATGGTGACAGGGTGTTTATAATCTCCTTTCATTGTCCACTAAGATTGAATTTCTATTATTGATTGATTTGTTAGCATGAGGGGTATATCATTTATCAAATTAATTTTTTTTCTTAACAAGCATGTCGCTTATCGTCCGTACTGCATTCATACATGACATTAGTAGTCTTTCGTAAAACAGGAACCTATCCAACCATTAAACCAATTGGTGTTGTGGGTTTAAGATTAAATATGGGGGTACGTAGTTATTTACATTGTTTACTCTTGTGTTATAAACTAATTAAAAGTAATTAATTTATTTTAGCCTATTACAAGAGAAAACATGTCTTCTGATTCTCAGACGTGTTACGAATATGGATACATTATTAGGTCTCAGGTTTAATCTTCATTTATCAGCTCATGATATACGAGGATGGTCAACAGTGTCCTTGGGCATGGCTTATTTCCTAATCTCTTCGTAATTCATGTGCATGGATGCAAAAATTTTTAGGAATATAGAAAAGATGTATAGGCGGATTGGTTAATTTTGTTAAGGAATCTTTCATTTATAATTAGATGAATCTTGTTGGGGATGATATCACGACATGTTTCCATGCTCATTACCTTGGATGTAGGACTTTTAAGAGTCTTAACGAAAATAACAAATGTTGTGTACCTTAATAACAAAGGAGTATAGGACAGTGTCCTCCATGCTGCTGATATTTAGATGTAGGATCTCAAGAGAAAGATTTTCCAACAAATTGACTATCTTCACAATTTGCCCTGGAATTCTTCGTGATACAGTCCTCAAGACGACATTTGACCCGGAGATCTTTGCTTCCACGTCCGCAACTGGTGAATTACAAGATGCTCCCAGTTCTTTGATATTTTCGTGTACAACTATAGATCGTTCTGATTGTGGGGTGCTTGGTTGCAGTAATGGCTTTGGGCTTGGACCAGGACTAGGACTTATGCTCCTACGTCTTTTCTTTGATTCCAATGATTGTAAAACTTGTTGCATCTCCTTGATGAATTCTATTACACCTCCTATGATTGAGGCTTGATCTCCCTACCATATCACGCGCGCAAATGAAAATAAATCGTACTAAGTCTATCATTGATGAAACCATCGCATGTGACGTATGTGATAGATTTGGAACATATTGAAAGAAACCGTGATCAACTATATTATGTTGACGACTTTGAATACGCTATAATAATACTTTGTTTACTAAGAATCATCATACTCGCTAAAAACATGTTGCTAGTTGTTAATTTTTAATAAAATCATTGTCAATTCAGGAGAAAAAAAACTTAATAATTAAATAAGCAAGAAAATGGCTAGCATGTAGAGAGATTGGTTCTAGCAAGTATGCTTATAATTTTGTATAAGAATTATATGAAATCACTATATCGGTCAAACAAGTCTTTTTTGCATCCTTGGAAAGATAATAGGTAGATTTAGAAAAGTTTTATAGTTTGTTGAATCATATAATTGGTAATTTTCTATGCAGCACCACTTTGAAAGTTGAAACACAAAACAGATACTAGAAGGAAACCGCATGGCTATGCCATATGACAGAAACATTGATAAACAACTGCGGCATACAACCACAGAAAGAAAACCCTAATGATGTAATAAGCCTAGATCTGTTGCCTTATGAATGGAATTACAAACACCTTGAGCATGGTTCGACATTAAAGAGAGGAATATACCAACCCGTTTGATATAGAAGCATGGGGTCATTGATCGCAAGACTTTGAGGTGTTCATTCATCTGCCTTCTCCTATTTCTCTCTACAGCTATATGAGACATGTTGCGATCCTTCGGAAAGGTATTTTCTACACTCTGGGTCAAGAAAGACACACAGTCGCGTATGTTGAGAAATATAGATATATGTATACGGTGTGTTTACGTGTGTGGATTGTGTTTGTGTGTGTGTGCGTAAGTGTACTGCATACTACTAGCTATGTTCTTATAAATGCTATGTGTTGCAGTCTCGTGAGGTTAGTTAGTTATTCTCTCTCTCTTTCTCTCTCTCTCTCTCTCTCTCTCTCTCTCTCTATATATATATATATATATATATAT